AGAAAAACCTTTCGAAAACTTAAATTTCATGAATCCTGGATGTCACAGCCGAGTTTGAGAACAAATTTTTCAAGTTCTGCAAATTTTGCGAATCCTGGATGTCACAGGATTTCGATAGGACCTTTTTTGGGCCAATTTTCAAAGAAAAACCTTTCGAAAACTTAAATTTTAGAAATTCTGGATGTCACAGCATAGTTTGAGAACAAAGTTTTCTAAATTCTTCAAATTTTGCGAATCCTGGATGTCACAGGATTTCGATAGGACCTTTTTTGGGCCAATTTTCAAAGAAAAACCTTTCGAAAACTTAAATTTTATAAATCCTGGATGTCACAGCATAGTTTAAAGCAAAATGGAGTTGAAAAGAGTTTAATAGTTTTTATAACTACTGTGTACACCATGTGTCTAATTTCAGATTTCAGATAAACGATTTCAGATTTCAAGATTTGCTTACAAGGGGAAGGTCAACTGGATAGGCTGGCCAAAGAGATAGGCTAGCCAACTGGATAGGCTGGCCAAATGGATAGGCTGGCCAAATGGATAGGCTGGCCAAAGGGACAGGCTCGCCAAATGGATAGGCTGGCCAAATGGATAGGCTGGCCAAATGGATAGGCTGGCCAAATGGATAGGCTGGCCAAATGACATCGCCATAGAGCTAGCCATAGAGCTATCAACGCAGAAATTCACGCTGAATCCGAATCTGCTTTCTGTTTTTGCTAAACGGCACTCTGTCAAAAGTTATAAGCAAGTTATAAGCAAAGTTTTGTATGGAATTTTAAAAATCATCCTTTGAGTTTATTAGCAGATTTCCTAGAGCCTTGAAAGAGCAGTCGTGGGCTAATGGTAGTCGATTAAAATACGAGACAAACCGTTTCGGGTTCGAGTCCGCGGACTTATTCGAACTTATTTTTGCTTTTTTAGATTGCTCTCTATTTCAAATACAAATCTTTTTCAAACAACTTCTCATAAAAATGTTTACTTTTAGCTATTAACATTGGTACGACGCCGGTTGGGCGTCACTTTTTTTCTTCAAAACCACTTTTTCTGGAGTAATTTTATGCGTAGATTCCGAAAAACACAACGAGAACTTGGGAAAAGGCGCTTTAAGCCGAGTGTTGGGGCTTCAAAGTGCGCGCTGTGATGCGTGCGTGCGTGCGTGCTCATACAGAGTGATGAGAGGGATACTGTTTTGATGTAGAATTTCGAAAACTTTGCTCTCAAACCATCCTGTGACATCCAGAATTCATGAAAATTAAGTTTTCAAAAGGTTTTTCTTTGAAAATTGACCCAAACAAGGCCCGATCGAAATCCTGTGACACCCGGGATTCGCAAAATTTGCAGAATTTTAAAAACTTTGCTCCCAAACTATGCTGTGACATCCAGGATTTATGAAATTTCAGTTTTCGAAAGGGTCTGCTTTGAAAACTGACCCAAACAAGGCCCTATCGAAATCCTGTGATAGGTCTATAGCTCATATCATTTGATCAGCCGATCCAGTTGAACTTCCCTTGTTAGTTTTCCGTTTTTGGTATATTAATGAGCTTGAATAGAGTTTGTTTATCAAGTTAGCACCGAAAAAAACCCCTTATCAACCATTCAACTTCTATCCATTTCACTTCATAGTCACGAGGTGGAGGTGTTTCCCCAAATATGCTTTTCTTTTCTCCGACTCGCTCCCTTTTTCATTCAAATCATATCAATTTCCTCTCAACAACAAGAAAACCAGCTCTTTTCCATTTCATTGAAAAGTGTGTCAATCAAAGAAAAGCTAGATAAAGAAAAGGGGGTTTCCCTAAAAATTTCCCTATCAAGCACCTCGTGGGGATGGACGTTGTGGCGACGAAAGTAGAGACGGACAAACAGACAGACAGACAGACAGACAGCCAGACAGACAACCAGGCAGACAGACAGACAGACAGACAGACATACGGACAGACAGACAGACAGACAAACAGACGGACAGACAGACGGACGGACAGACAGATAGACGGACAGACAGACAGACAGACAGAGAGACAGACAGACAGGCAGACACAGCTGTTTTTCACGATAGATCAAAAACAAATCAGTAACAATTGTTGTGTGTGTTCCAAATAAGAGAAAAAACAACGAAATTATGGATTCTGTTTGCACAGAAAAAAGTTATCGCACCGAACTCCAGCCTGGAATTAAGCTCAGAAAAAGATTTGATCAAAATCCTCCAAATTTGAGGTTTGGAGGATTTTGATCGGTAAAATATGGGCTGTGGATTCCAGAATTCACAACAATTGAATAGAGATCGGAATTCTGCTAATGAATTGCTTTGAAATGGGATCGGTTCAGTTACTCAAGTGTCAGAGACGTCTTTTCACCCCCACTCACTTTAAACGTTTGCAAAAAGAGCTGTGACTTCCAATTTGAAGAGCTGTTGCAAATCTAAGCCCCTTTCCCCTTTGGCCTTTTGTAAAACACAGCCGGTTTAATTGCGCAAGTTGTCTAGCAAAGAAAATGCACGCCAGGCACTAGAAGCGCTCAAAACACGAGTTGTGACTTCCAATTTGCAAGAATATTGCGATTTGAAGTCCATTTTCTTTTTGGACTTTTGTAAAACACAGCCGGTTTAATTACGCAAGTTGTCTAGCAAAGAAAATGCACGCCAGGCACTAGAAACGCTCAAAACACGAGTTGTGACTTCCAATTTGCAAGAATATTACAAATCTAACCCCCTTTCCTCTTTGGCCTTTTGCAAAAGCAGTCAGTTTAATTACTCAGCTGTCCACAAGTAGAAACTGAAAGAACTGTGGGATCTGACCCGAGCTACAACTTGTAAAGGTCAAAGTTCACCCAGAAAACCCGTCACTTTCAAAAATAACACGACCAGACAGAAATATTTGTTATTTGCTTACAGTGTGCCAGCTATCAATCACGGAAAACTGCAAAAAATGATCAGAAACTCTAAAAATAGAGATGATCTTCGAAAATCGTCTGCGCTCAGGGATAGACAGGGATAGACAAGGATAGACACAAGATCTGTACTCGAACAATTGAAAAACTGACTCACTCCTTAATCCTTTGATTGTTTGATCTGGTGGAAAAATGGGAAAATTGTTGATGATTACGTGATTTTTATCTTTTAGAGAAATATTTTAGAGAAGTTTTTAGAGACACCTTTTAGAGAAATCTTTTAGAGATATCTTTTAGAGACAAAGTGCAATGGGAAAGTGTTTATTGGACATTTCGTTGAAAGGAGAAAAATGTACGGTTGCATCGTGTGAACGCCGTTCCATTTGGCCTAAAATCTAGAACTAGAACTAGTCTAACTCTGACTGGCTCTCACTCTGGCTGGCTCTAACTCTGACTGGCTCTAACTCTGGCTGGCTAGCTGAGAACTGGCTGGGAAAAGGCTGAAAACTCTAGAACTAGCTGAGGAGTGACGAAAGCCGTAAAACTTTTTGAGAATTGTCTTCACCTACTCCAGGTGTCTTGGCTTTTAAGCTACTTAAAATTCGCTCTTTGCTCAATCGATTTTTAGTTTTTTGGTCTCAAGTAATGTGGGAGGGTATTCTAGACGAATTCTATTTCATACTCAATTCTAGACGAATTCTATTTGATTTAACCTAAAAGCCTGAGAGATCAGGGCTATGGAGATTCAGAGCTGCAACAAGACACCTGGACCAGTCTCCTGGCTTCTGGTTTGACTCTCGACCTGGCTTCTGGTTTGACCCTCGACCTGGCTTCTGGTTTGACCCTCGACCTGGCTTCTGGTTTGACTCTCGACCTGGCTTCTGGTTTGACCCTCGACATGGCTTCTGGTTTGACCCTCAACCTGGCTTCTGGCTTGACTCTCGACCTGGCTTCTGGTTTGACCGTCTTGTTGAAAATTGAAACAATCACTAAAAGTCACTAAAAGTCACTAAAAGGGTTGAATAACAAGAAATAATAATAAAGTAAATATAAGGTGAAAACTAGTCAAAAATAAAGTGTGACATCCAGATCGTCCGATAAAATCATTAAACTGTAAAAATATTCAGCTAACGGCTTTGAAAAAGGTTGAACTCATTTTGTCAAAATTGAAGTTCTGAAAATTGAAAAAGCTGGTTTTAAATTTCGTAGTGGAATGCAAATTGGAAATTTCTGCACTAAAGTGTATCTACAAATCAACACGTACTCTTAATCACTTGATTGTTTGATCTCCAAATATTTTTGATTGTGATTTCATCTTTCGAAGACAATGCAGCGATCATTTCGTTGAAAAGTCGATGATGAAATGAGAAGGGCTACGGTAATTGGTTCTCTGCTTCTCAAAACCTCTCAAATGGGTATAAATGTCGATGCTGGGTGTCATTGGGGTGATTGCCGATCGCTCTTTGTGTCGGGGGTTGGTGTTGGGGAATTCCCCTCCCCCTCCCCCACGTGACCCCCACCTTTTCCATGACATCTCTGGGGTAACACCGGAGATTTTATCTGTAATATGCAAATTGGAACGCACTATCTATAATAAAACTAGTTTTAAGACTATAAAGTTAATTTTTAGATTTTGTGCATAGTAGTGCTATGAACTGCCTCCGATTTCTTGGTCTTACCGTAGATAACCGTGAATTTTTTGATCTGTAATATGCAAATTGGAACGCACGAACTATAATCAGACTAGTCTTAAGGCTATAAAGTTAATTTTTAGATTTTGTGTATAGTAGTGCTCTGGACTGCCTCCCATTTCTTGGTCTTACTGTAGATAATCTTGAGTTTTTTGATTTGTAACACGCAAACTGGAACGCACTATCTATAATAAAACTAGTTTTAAGGCTATAAAGTTAATTTTTAGATTTTGTGCATAGTAGTGCTATGAACTGCCTCTCATTTCTTTGTCTTACTGTAGATAACCGTGAATTTTTTAAACTTTAATATGCAAATTGGAACGCATTTTGTCTAATGAGATAATTTTTTGTCATTTTAAGCCTTTCTTAATTTTCTAAGATTACTGTAAAATTGAAAATTCTTTCAAAAACCCTTTCAGAAATTCGAAAATGCGACTCTCTTTGAAGCAACTCTTTCAACAGATCAGCGCCGTCGGGTGTGCGAATGGATTGGCCGGAAGGTGGGTAGTTTCAAAAAATTGGCTTCTAGCTTGGAAAAACTGTACTCCGTACTTCGCTTTACTTCAACTACTGTACTCCAATAGGATTACAGTACCATCCTTACACCATTTCAGACAACTCGGCTGTGAGTCGGCTGCTCACGTGCTACAGAACTCCTCTCTACTTAAACAGTGCCGAATCCCAGTCAAATGGGAAGCAATCGTGAAAGAGGTGAACTCGGGACGGCACTTGGATGCGATGCCCGGCGTGAGAGAGGTGATTTTAATGAGTTACAAGGTGAAAGCTGAAGCGTTCTAACGCTCGATCACTTTTTAAAGTGTTAACAGTAGAGTAGGTCAGATCTACTATATATAAAAGAGCTGTGTCTGTCTGTCTGTCTCACTGCCTGCCTGCCTGCCTGCCTGTTTGTCTGTCTGTCTGTTTGTCTGTCTGTCTGTTTGTCTGTCTGTCTGTCTGTCTGTTTGTCTGTCTGTCTGTTTGTCTGTCTGTCTGTTTGTCTGTTTGTCTGTTTGTATGTTTGTCTATCTGTCTGTCTGTCTGCCTGCCTGCCTGCCTGCCTGTCTATCTGTCTGCCTGCCTGCCTGTCTGTCTGGCTGTCTGTCTGTCTGTCTGTCTGTCTGTCTGTCTGTTTGTCTGTCTGTCTGTCTGTCTGTCTGTCTGCTTGTCTGTCTGTCTGTCTGTCTGTCTGTCCGTCTCTACTCTTCCGCTTCCAGTGGGCCGTTTCAAATAACTTTTAGTTAGTTTGGCTTAGAATTCCATGTAGTTGTGCAACACGTTTTTAGATTTTTAAAAAACCAAAATTGCAGACGTAGGCGGGAGTCGAACCCCGGTGGTGTGGGCTAGAGACAAGTGCGCTCGCACTGCACCATCACATGGTCGAGTGGTTAACGCGCACGTCTTTCAAACGAACTGAAGAGAGAGGTCGCGGGTTCGACTCCTCTCGCCGTCAATTCTTTTGCTTTTTTGCTACAAAGCAGCAGCAAAACTGCTGGTAATGCAATATAAATGACCTGTCACGTAGTTCAGTAGCGTAGCGATTCGCTTAGCACAACAGATCGGATAGTGCAATGCTAAGTTTCAACAAATCGTTCTTTAAACCAGATTGGTTTCCTTAAAAGCCAAATGATCCATTTGGTGCGAAAACTTGAGAAAATCTTTAAAATGAGCATCGACTACGCGCGAGTACAGTCCGTCAGACTACAAACTACTGTAACTTTCTTTAGGATTAATATTTCTCAGTGTGCTTTAGTACGTTTAAAAGCTCTTGAAATTCTCTATCTTTTGAGCTATAGACCATGTAAATCAGATAGATTTAAAGCAATTTAGAAGCGTTTGTAGTTGGACATTTTGTCACTTTTGTAGTTTTTAATGCTCATCTCTAACAAAAGTCGTTTAGACAATGCGCAAGCTAGCCGATCAGACCCGGGAAACGATCAAGAAGGAGGGTGAAGTACTTGTGGTGGCCGGCGATCACTCATCAGCCATCGGCACCTGGAGTGGAGTGTCGACAGCGATGAGAGACGTCGGAGAGATCGGACTGATTTGGATTGACGCACATATGGTTGGTAATTTTGAAATCATCAAGTAGAGCTTAAAAAAATCAATCAAAATCTATTGTGTGTTCCAGCTTTGCAATTGCAAATCTCATAGTGCCAGGTTTTTCATGTACTTTGTGCTCAAAAGTAACGTGAACATACCCTTTCCAGTGCACTTAATTTTGCTGTTAAATAATTGAAATTTAAAATGAAGTGGGGAATCGTGTGCGCTCCGGAAAAAGCAGGTTTACGTTTTGAGCCCAAAGTACAGCCAAAAAACGTGACAAAGAAGGCTTGGCTTGAGAATCTAGGACCTAAAATCTTCTTTTCCAGGACGCCCACACTCCAGCAACTTCAGGCACGGGGAATATTCACGGAATGCCAGTGGCTCATCTTTTAGGCTATGGTGACAGTCATTTGGCCTCAATTGGTGAGTTCAGCAATTCTTAAAACAGAATTTGAGTACTTCGGAACCTTCCGGGCCTTCCGGGCTTTCCGGGCCTTCTAGGCCTTCCGGGCACCTTCCAGCTATTATTTTTCATTTCTAAAGATACTCAGCCTTGTTGGGCATGGAATACTGTAGTGAATAGGAGAAAAACTAGGCTAAGCGCAAAAAAGGTACCTGGGCCTGGGCCAGGTTGGGCCAGATACTTTTGTGGTCAGTCAAGAACAGAGGAGCCAAAGTCATGTCGGACTTTGCCTAGTCTAGCTTCCAACGGCCCCAGTCACTCCTTGTGGGCTAGGCCAGGTCAGGGTTAGAATCCAGATCCAGATCTGTTTTTGAAGGAGCAGCCATTTTTGTGAGCAACTTTACAGTATTTTACAATATTTCACGTTACAACATCAGCTGTGATCCATTTTTGACCGCTCAACTCTCTAATTTCCCATTCAGGCGACAACTTCCCAAAAATCCGTCCTGAGAACCTCTGCCTTGTCGGGATTCGGAGTTTCGAGCCAGCTGAGCAGGTAAATTGGAGAATTTTGGCTAAAACCAGTGACTTAGCAACTTCTTGATTACCTCGGCGTCCGGGTTTTCTTCATGGAAGAAGTGGAAAGACGGGGAATCGCTGAAGTGATGCAAGAGGCGCATCATCATGTCACGAGGTGAGCCCTAAAGAAGAAATTGGTGAAAAACAAAACTGTTGTGATTTTTGCGAAAAGCAAAAACTTTTCGGTTGCACCCGGGGTCGAACCAGGGTCGTGTGAGTGGGAGGAAAGTTTGCTATCCACTCGGCCATACAAACCACTTGATCTTTTAATAATATTTTACAATGAAAGCATGACCTCCAGGATCACCGAAAACTTTAGGCAAACCTCGGCTTTCGGCATGTCGATCGACATTGACGGCTTTGACGTGGCAGACGCACCGGCTGTGGGAACTCCGGAGAAAGGTTAGAAAATAGCTTTTAAATAATAAAGTGTGACATCCAGATAGTCCGATAAAATCATTAAAATCTAAAAATATTCAGCTAACGGCTTTGAAAAAGGTTCAACTCGTTTTGTCAAAAACAAAATTGTCAATTTCTGAAAATTGGAAAAACTGCTTTTAAATAATAAAGTGTGACATCCAGATAGTCCGATAAAATCATTAAAATCTAAAAATATTCAGCTAACGGGTTTGAAAAAGGTTGAACTCGTTTTGTCAAAATTGTTAGCTCTAAAATTTGCGCTTTTCTCCTCTCTGAAAATTGGAATCACTGCTGTGCGTTCCAGAAAAGAAAATCTCGTTTTTGGTTTTGAAAATGTTTTTAAAAATTCAGACGGAATCCGTGCCGACGAGTTTTTGCAAGCGCTTCTCCGGCTAGACTTGAGAGGATTGATCGCCACAGAGATCGTCGAATTCTTGCCGAAATTCGATGACGCCCACAAAACGAGGTTGGTCTTGAGTCTCTTTAAAAAGCAGCCTTTCAGCATTTCAGCATTTCAAGATATTCAGCTTAACATTTTAAAGGGTATTCAGTTGGGATTACTGTGGTTTCTTAAAGAACCCTCAAATTGAAAATTCTAAAGCCAGTTTTCTAAAGTGCGCTCCAGAATGGCCAAAAATGAGATTTCTATCAAAAATCGGAGTTCATAGAGTCAATTTTTCAATCCATCAAAAAAAAACCCACTTGGGATTACGGTAACTTATCCAAAAGTTTTAAAAAGTGATCCTTTTTCTCAAATGCCCGCCAGAATCGCCAAAAATGCATCAAATTTTGTCGAATTTCCCCGAATTTCAGCGAGAAACTCGTGGTGAATCTGATCGAAACGATTTATCAAACGAAATTCTTCCAAACCCAAGCAACGGAGTCGATTTTGCGACGAGCGCACTCATAAATTTCATAATTTTCACCAATTTTCACCAATTTTTTGTATTTTTGTGTATATAAATGTACAAAATTTGTGTTATTAAATAAATTTTGCCTTTTTCTCAAATCGGTAACTGGTTAATGGTCTAGAGCCTCGACCTCGACAAAAACTACCGTAACCCTTAACTCTTGATCTTTTTTAATTCAGGATTTCGGTGTATTTTAAAGAGAAATCGACGAAATCACAGATTTTAAGCGGTTTCCAGCGATTTCTCGGTATCTCTGAGTTGAAATCGCGAAGCCACAACAAACGAGAAACGGGAGCGGGCTACGATGGATGGAGCGCCGTTTAAGGAGAGAAGGGGACAAGACAGGGCTGCTCAGAAGCCGATCATTCTGCCCACCCGACCAAATTAGAGCATTCCAGGGCTTAAAAAAGGATTTTTTTAAAAATTTAGCTATTCTGGATGTCACTAGGCATTTTGAAATTAAAAAAAGCAAAAATTTCGTAAATTTTTTATGTTAGAATTTTCAAGGGACGAGTACAGTGGATTTTAGAGCTCTGGGTAACTCGGATTACGGTAATTTTTCGATTTTTATCTGATCTGGAAGGCATTTGAGCTGGCTGAAGCTTTATTTTGCCTTTTTTTCAAATCGGTAACTGGTTGATGGTCTAGAATCTCGACCTCGACAAAAACTACCGTAACCCTTAACTCTTGATCCTTTTTAATTCAGGAATCCACGATCTGGAGCACACAAGAGAAAATGCGTTCTTCGAAAAAGTGATAGCTTTTGTTTTAGAATTTCCTATATAGCTACAGTACCCCGAATTTTTTGTCGGTATAAATTTACATTGAAATTTACATTTATCGAAAGGGTGCCTTCCAGATAGCTGATTTTCGTCGAAATTCGGAAGTGTTATCGATTGGGAAATGGAAAAAATGGGGAGACAAGTAAAATGAACTTTTTCAGAGAGAGAAATCCACAGCTAGCTACCGCCAATCGCTAGCCGGTGCAGAGCCAATCCCAGAGCACAGGGGAAAACACATTTGCATAAGAATAGACAAATCATTCGATAATAACAATAGTAACTCAAATATCAGTTTGGCTCGGAGCTGACAAAACGAAATTCTTCCAAACCCAGGCAACGGAATCGATTTTGCGACGAGCGCACTCATAAATTTCATCGATTTTTTGTATTTTTGTGTACATAAATGTACAAAATTTGTGCTATTAAATAAATTTTTCAAAAAAAAAAAACAAAATTTCCTTAAGTGTTTCAGTGAAAAATTTTCCTTTTCTGCCGGAAAAAAAGCCCCAAAATTTCAAATCGATTTTTCTCGGCTTTCAGTTAAAGAATGAGAAAATGACTTAAAGAAATGCTCAAACTGGAAAGCAACTTAGTTTTTGCGAAATAAATTTAGAGTTCTCGGAAAGTTTTAAACTTTTGAACTTTTGCGAAAAAGCGAAAAAGCTCAAAAATTCCAGAATAACTTAAAAGCGACTAAACCCTAAAATCGCGACTTTGGGCTTTTATAGGGCTTTCATAACCTATTGCCGGCGTTTGCTCGAGTATGCCACCATCGTATACGGTCACCTTCCATTAAGAAACTTATCACTTTGGTTGAAAATGTTCAACGGTTCAACGGCGTTTCACTAAAAGCGCATACACTCGTTGTTTCCCCTTCTTCTCTTATTCCAAATTATGACACTAGCCTTATAGTTTTTGATTTAAAAATCCCCTTTATATCGCCGTATTTACATTGATATTATTTTTTTTTTGCTATAAAATTCTTTTCCACCCTAAGTCGCATCCAGAATTTCAAAGCCTCTTGAAAATTGTGGAAATTCAAAGAAGTAGAGAGGTCGGTGGAGCCTCTCGGCAAGCGGTGGAGCCTCTCGGCAAGCGGTGGAGCCTCTCGGCAAGCGGTGGAGCCTCTCGGCAAGCGGTGGAGCCTCTCGGCAAGCGGTGGAGCCTCTCGGCGAGCGGTGGAGCCTCTCGGCGAGCGGTGGAGCCTCTCGGCGAGCGGTGGAGCCTCTCGGCGAGCGGTGGAGCCTCTCGGCGAGCGGTGGAGCCTCTCGGCGAGCGGTGGAGCCTCTCGGCAAGCGGTGGAGCCTCTCGGCAAGCGGTGGAGCCTCTCGGCGAGCGGTGGAGCCTCTCGGCGAGCGGTGGAGCCTCTCGGCAAGCGGTGGAGCCTCTCGGCAAGCGGTGGAGCCTCTCGGCAAGCGGTGGAGCCTCTCGGCGAGCGGTGGAGCCTCGTTGACGGTGCGGACGGCTTTTCGGGGAATGATCGGACGACGATGAGATTCGGAAACGGTGATAGCCACGGTAGTTACCGTGTCTTTTTCCAGAAACGGCAAAAGTAACTTTAAGCCAAGATTATTGAAGCTTAACTCATGTTAAAGTTGTTGCTGTTGTTGTTGTTGCTAAGTGTTGTTGAGTGTTGCTGTTGCTGTTGAGTGTTGCTGTTGAGTGTTGCTGTTAGGTGTTGCTGTTGCTGTTGCTGTTGCTGGTAGCTGTTGCTGTTAGGTGTTGCTGTTAGGCGTTGCTGTCGTTGCTGCTGGTGTTGTTGCTGTTGTTGCTGTCGTTGTTGCTGTTGTTGCTGTTGCTGTTGTTGTTCTTGCTGGTGTTGTTGTTGTTGTTGTTGTTGTTGTTGCTGTTGTTGTTGCTGTTGTTGTTGTTGCTGTTGTTGCTGTTGCTGTTGTTGCTGTTGCTGTTGTTGCTGTTGCTGTCGTTGTTGTTGTTGCTGTTGTTGCTGTTGTTGCTGCTGTCGTTGTTGCTGTTGTTGTTGTTGCTGTTGCTGTTGTTGTTGTTGTGGTTGTTGTTGTTGTTGTCGTTGTTGCTATTGTTAAAGTTAACTCATGGCAAATTGACATGAAAGCTATTTTTTGGTGTAATGGGAAAGAATTGTTTCCTTGACATTACAAATAACGCACGGATAGGGCGCGTAGACACGAAAAACTCACCCGAAATGATGTTTGTGAGAATTTTTAGGTGCTTCGCTTTTAATTGATCCTTTTTTCCAGTTCAATGAATTAAGCTAAAAGATTTTTATCATTTGTTTCTTTGTTTCTGATTTGTTAATCTTGTTTTTACGTTTTTCTCAATCTAAAATTGTCCAGAATATTTGTGACGCCTTCTTTAAAAGCAAAATTACGTCGAAAATGTATGAGATTACTTTAAAGTTTGTTATTATTTCTTTTTTTATAACATTTTTCTATTTATATTCTAATTTTTAGCCCAATCGGTGGGTTATAAGAAAAATTAGGGCCTCTAATTGGCATTTGCTCATTGGCAACAAGCTCATTGACATTTGATTGGCCAAACTTCTTCGTAAAAGCAGCTAGCAAATGTAATAATATAGCAAATAGCTTATTTCAAAAAGCTTGTTGTTATATAGAGATTTGAAGCCCGGAATCCCGGAATATCAAGGAATTGTGCCAAAGATGGCAGGAAGCATCAATCCTGGAAGGTCCATTTTTTGCATGATAATGCAAAACCGCACACGGCAACGATGACCTTCCAACAAATCGAAGAGATAAGCTGGAAACTTCTACCTCACGCCCCAAACAGCTCTGACTTGGTCCCTTGGCCGCTGACTTGGCCAGACTACCGCTTATTCAGGTCTCTAAAGGTCTCATTTCATCTCCCATCAGTTGTTCAAGGATTCCGAGGAAGTCGAAAATGCGGTCACCAACTATTTCAAAGTCCCCAGTTCTTTGAAGTTCTTTGAATTGCGCCAAAGATGGCTATTCCATTTCTCAGGCTAGTCATTGACAATAATGGAGAAAACCTTTCGGGTTAATGTTCATTTTTTTGCTTTCTATGAAATAAACAAGTTGTTGCCTAAAACGATCGTTTATAACTTACCAACCTAATATAATTTTGGACTACCCTGTAGCCAGAAAGACGCCGATCTCATTCAAAAGCTTGTAAAATAAGCTGATTCTCGCTCATAACTCCGATTCTCGAGTTTTTAATAGAGAAATGAAGCCATGTTTTTGGGCTTTAATTCCCTATATAAAATTGACTACTTTTGAAAGAATTTTCCCATTTGCTAGCTGCTTTTAGCCTAATCTAACTTTTGGAATCCGATAAAAACAACGAAAATAAGCTGATTTCATCTCGTTTTCAAACATGGCGACAATTAAAGCAATTAAATTATAGTGTGCCCTCCAGATCACCTAATACTACAGTTAAAAATTAGATTACTGTAGAAGTAGTGCTTTTTAGGAGCTAGTCACTGAACTGGATTACGGTATTGTTTTCAGAGTTGGCGAAATTGCGTGGATTTTGATTGGAAATTATAGTGTGCGCTCCAGATCGCCTAATATTACAGTTAAAGGTCGGGTTACGGTAGAAGTAGTGCTTTTTAGAAGCCAGACACTGAACTGGATTAACGAACTTTTTAGAGTTGACGAAGTCGGATTGATTTTAAATGGAAATTGTAGTGTGCGCTCCAGATTCGCTGAATAATTATTAAATAATTGAATTACGGTAGAAGTAGTGCTTTTTAAAAGCCAGTCACTGGACTATGGAGCTTTTTAGAGTTGACGAAATTACGTTGATTTTAGATGGAAATTGTAGTGTGCGCTCCAGATCACCTAATACCACAGCTAAAGATCAGATTACTGTAGAAATAGTGCTTTTTAGAAGCCAGACACTGAACTGGAGTACGGTATGGTTTTCAGAGTTGGCGAAATTGCGTGCATTTTGATTGGAAATTGTAGTGTGCGCTCCAGATCGCCTAATGCTACGGCCAAAGTTTAGATTACTGTGGAAGTAGTGCTTTTTAGAAGCCAGACACTAAACTGGATTAAGGAACTTTTCAGAGTTGACGAAATTGCATTGATTTTAAATGGAAATTGTAGTGTGCGCTCCAGATTACTACTTTTGAAAGAAGTTTGCCATTTGCTAGCTGCTTTTAGCCTAATCTACCTTTTGGAATCCGATAAAAACAGCGAAACAGCGAAAATAAGCTGATTTCATCTCGTTTTTAAACGTGGCGACAATTAAAATTGATTTTATAATAATTCTATGACAATTCTATGATATTTGTTTATCAAATTCGCATAGAAAAAGCAAAACAAGCATGATTTGAGAAAGAGTTTTGAGATTTAAAAAGATTTAAACACAATTTAAGCACAATTTAAGCACAATTTCATCCGACACTTTTATTTACGCAGCTTCTAATAGCTCTATAGCCAAGCAATTGGGCTAAACGTTGTATAAAAGTGTTATAGAAATAAAATTATAACAAAATTTAAGTAATGTCCGTAAAAAATCTCTCAAAAAAATCTCCCAAAAAAATTTAATTTCAAAATTTCTATGAAAACAAGTTTTTTTGCTTTAACAGAAATCACAAATCAACGAATTTCTAAAAATGAAAAAAAAACGCAGAAAAGTGATGAGAAAACGGCTCCGTGCCACCCAGGAATGCCCTCGTTTTTTTGCGATTTTCCATTTTTTCCATTTTCTCTCGTTTTCCGGTCAAAATCGGCGGTGTTCCATTCGCGTCATTTGGACCAAAACGGAACTTAATCCCAGCCCGGTTTTCTGTGTTTTAATCGCTCAAGTGACTTCCAGAATTAACGATCGCGTTTGATTTATTTTTTGAAACCTCAGAAATCGCGATAAATCTACGCGAAGTCATTCAGGAAAATGGGTGACGTTCATTTTTGATTTTTTCGCTTAAAAAAGAGCGATTTTAGCTTACATGACATCCAGAATGACTGAATTTGTCAAAAACTTTTTAAAATTCTTTGCCAAATTTTAGAGAAACTGGGGCAAGACCAAAAAATTTTCGCAAAAGAGGAAAAGAGGATCTTTGTGCATATTTCCTAATCGAATTAAACGATTTAGTGCTGACTGTTGGCTTCTAGATCAAAAATGGTTGACATTTCAGTCATTTGAGTCATTTTTGGCAAAAAATAGAAAGCGAAAGGTTGGATTAGTCACGGGATTTTCGCTTTTTTGTGTCGGTCACGATTCGCTTCTTTTCTAGAGCTTTTTACCGCTTTTTACCGCTTTTCATAAATTGTTCTCGAAATTGGAGTGATTTTTGGCAGATTTCAACATTCAATTTTGGTTAAACTTGAAAAAATTGATCAAAAAACGATCAAATAACGAAAATCTCGAATTTTTTTGCTTTTTTCAGCTTTTCCCTTTTAAACAATTGCTTTTATTGCTTAAATTTTATTGCTGGTATCATCTAGAGGTCAAAGCCATAGCCTGGTATGATCTAGAGGTCAAAGCTATAGCCTGGTATGATCTAGAGGTCAAAGCCATAACCTGGTATGATCTAGAGAGGTCAAAGCCATAGCCTGGTATGATCTAGAGGTCAAAGCTATAGCCTGGTATGATCTAGAGGTCAAAGCCATAGCCTGGTATGTTCTAGAGGTATGATCCACATTTTTCAACCCAAATAGCCAAACGACTCAAAAAATAACTCAAAATTCTTCTCTTCTCCATGAAAAATGCATCTGAATCTTTGGTTTTCATTGGTTTTCAAAAAACAGCGCTAAAATTAGACGATTTAACCCTGGGATCACGAGTTAGCCTCGTGAATCGAGAAATTTTTCAGCTTACTTTGGTATTTTTCGAGTTTTTTGCCAATCCTGGGTTACACAAAAGCTAATAAGCCTAAAATCTCAGCCTCAGAATCAATTTAAAAATTCAGTATTATGCGAAAATCTTCAACTCCAACATTTCTTGTCAATTTTTCAGCTCACTTTGATATTTTTCGAGTTTTTCTTCAATCCTGGATTACACAATAGCTAATAAGCTTAAAATCTCAGCCTTAGAATCAATTTAAAAAATCAGTATTATGCAAAAATGTTCAACTCCGATATTTCTTGCTAATTTTTCAGCTTACTTTGATATTTTTCGAGTTTTTTGACCATTCTGGATGTCACACTTGCTAATTGGCTCGAGAACCGAAATTGTCGAGTTAATTGGATCACATCCGATCTTGAAATTTTCTCAAAGTCTCAATTACAGCTTTCAGGTCTTATCCTGTTTTTCCCAAATTCATCCAAAATCGATTTTTCTTTGCCCAATGGCTCTAGTGCATTCCAGCTTGGCTTTTCTGACGTTTTTAGACTGAGAATTTTGCATTTAAGTCCATTTTGGCCATCCCTGGGACAAAACACCTTGGTCAGCTTTTCTCAAATTCATCCAAAACCGATTTTTCTTCGCCCAATCGACCTTGTGACTTCCAGATTGACTTTTCTGACGTTCTTAGAAGGAAAAATTTGCATTTAACTTGGTTTTGGCCATCCCTGGGACAAAACACCTTGGTCAGCTTTTCTCAAATTCATCCAAAACCGATTTTTCTTCACCCAATCGACCTTGTGACTTCCAGATTGACTTTTCTGACGTTTTTAAATTGAAAAATTTGCATTTAACTCCATCTAAGTCCATCAAAGACGAATCTACGCTTTTCTGAAACTCTTTGAGGTAGAGAAAATGAGAAATTTCTCTGAACGCCTCATTCAAAATGCACCTGAGCATCCCGTGCGCACAAAAAAGTGTTCACTGAGCGTCAAGAGAAGCACCAAATTTAGCTGGGGTCACGAGTTGTTCGCTCATCCACATGTTTTCCCCGGAAAAGGGACGAGACTCGCAAAAAAAGGTCCAAAAAAATGAAAAAAACAAAACCCCTCGAAGCCACGCCCCTTTTTCGTCTCTTTCCTTTTTATTGCATTCAATTTACCGCTGAGAGCTTTTCCCAGAATTCGCACTTTTCTTCGGGCTTCTCTGGGTCCATTTTGGCCATTCCTGGAACATAATTCGGCCATTCCGCTTTTTTCGATCCGCATTCCATACAATTTTTTCGCTTTTTTGATTTCTTGGCCAATTTGGCCACTCTTGAAACCCCTGAAACACAGCTGATAATATTTTTGCTCAAATTGATCTAAAACCGATTTTTCTTTTCCCAATCAACCTTGTGACTTCCAGATTGGCTTTTCTGACGTTTTTAGACTGAGAATTTTGGATTTAAGTCCATTTTGGCCATCCTGGGACAAAACACCTTGGTCAGCTTTTCTCAAGTGCATCCAAAACCGATTTTTCTTTTCCCAATCCACCTTGTGACTTCCAGATTGACTTTTCTGACGTTCTTAGAAGGAAAAATTTGCATTTAACTTGATTTTGGCCAAACTTGGAACAGAACGACTTGGTCAGCTTTTCTCAAGTGCATCCAAAACCGATTTTTCTTTTCCCAATCCACCTTGTGACTTCCAGATTGGCTTTTCTGACGTTTTTAGACTTAGAATTTTGGATTTAAGTCCATTTTGGCCATCCCTGAAACAGAACAACTTAATCAGATTTTCTCAAATTCATCTAAAACCTATTTTTCTTCACCCAATCAACCTTGTGCATTCCAGCTTTCGATTTCCCATAATTTCTGGCCCTTAACTATTCAGCATTGCCCCCAAACCCTCACAGAACAAAACCGCGAAAAAACGAAACGATCAAAAGAACAAAAAAAAACACTTTTTCGGCTATTCAGTAAATTTGCTGCGTTCTTGTGCTTTGTGAAAGTGCTATTTTTGAGAAAATAAAGTTTTCCTCTCTTTTCCACTTCAAAAGAGTTTCTTTTGAAGACGGCTCAGAGTTTCTTTTTGCAGGGGAGGCAGTGGGTGAGAGGCCGCACTTCCCCAGGCCTGTTAGCGGCTCCCAGAGACTCAGATTTGATATTTTTAAAACTTTTTGCTAATCCTGGGTTACACAACAGCCAATAAGCCTAAAATCTCAGCTTCAGAATCAATTTTAAAATCAGCTCTATCCGTAAATTCTCATCTCCGACATTTCTTGCCAATTTTTCAGCTTACTTTGGTATTTTTGAGTTTTTTTTGACTATTCTGGATGTCACACTTGCTAATAAGCCTAAAATCTCAGCCTTAGAATCAATTTAAAAATCAGCACTATCGGAAAATTTTCAGCTCCGACATTTCTTGCTAATTTTTCAGCTCAAGTTCATATTTTTTTTTGATTTTTGACTATTCTGGATGGCACACTTGTTAATTGGCTCAAAAACGAGAATTTTCGAGTTAATTGAGCGATTTAGGATGTGATCTGGGAAAATATTTGATCTCTATCGATTTTTTAAAAAACTAGCAATTTTATTTTTTCAAATTTTCATTTTTTCTCCATTCTGGATGACACAAATGCCAAAAAATCACAAAAAAATAAAAAATTTCAGCAAAAAAAGAACGAGATGAGTTTCATCTTCGTCGTCGACACTTCGCTGACAATGGCGTTGACGCTGGATGGGCAGGTTTGGAGTTTTGAGAAATAAAAACCCAAGTGTGCCCCAGATGGAGTGCGTTTACGCCGAAGCTCAAAGCAAAAAATCATTTCCAAATCGAATTTTTGCAGCCCTCAAGCTCCGTGAGTCAATCGCGTTATGGCGCCGCTTGTCGTATCATCTCTGGATTGATTTCAAGAGCCAAGAAAATCACACCGGAGCCAAAAATCGCTTTGGTGCGTTTTAGAAGGGGCAAAGGGAAATTAGAAGGGTTTTAGAAGAGATCTAAAAGAATAAATCAATTTTTAGTACCGCATGGGTGCTAAAATCGAGTTGTTGAGTCGAAATTTGGAGGACGAGACGGTGGCACAGAAATTTCTAGCGACAGGGTGGGTTGATTTTGAATGGAAATTTAAGTGTGCGCTCCAGATTGACTGAATAATTATTAAATAATTGAATTACGGTAGAAGTAGTGCCTTTTAGAAGCCAGACACTGAACTGGACTACGGAACTTTTTAGAGTCAACGAAGTCGCATTGATTTTGATTGGAAATTTAAGTGTGCGCTCCAGATTGGCTAAAAATTCAATAAGAAAGATCGATTTGCGATAGATTAAGTACTTTTTAGGGATGAGAATGAAACCGAAACCACGTGCATTTTAGAATTGACCAAAGTAGTCTTGACTTTAATTGGAAATTGTAGTGTGCGCTCCAGATCGTCTAGTATTACATTTAAAGATCGGGTTACTGTAGAAGTAGTGCCTTTTAGAAGCCAGACACTGAACTGGATTACGGTATTGTTTTCAGAGTTGGCGAAATTGGGTTGATTTTGATTGGAAATTATAGTGTGCGCTCCAGATCGCCTAATATTACAGTTAAAGGTCGGGTTACGGTAGAAGTAGTGCTTTTTAGGAGCCAGTCACTGAACTGGACTACAGAACTTCTTAGAGTTGACGAAGTCGCATTGATTTTAAATGGAAATTGTAGTGTGCGCTCCAGATCGTCTAATATTACAGTTAAAGGTCGGGTTACGGTAGAAGTAGTGCTTTTTAGGAGCCAGTCACTGAACTGGATCACGGTATTGTTTTCAGAGTTGATGAAATTGCATTGATTTTAAATGGAAATTGTACTGTGCGCTCCAGATCGCCTAATATTACAGTTAAAGGTCGGGTTACGGTAGAATATTAGTGCTTTTTAGGGTGCGATTGCTCGGCGAGTCGCACACCGGAGAGCTACTGGATCGAATCTCTGAGGATCTCAGCCCAACACAAGACGATCACATCATCGTCTTTACGGATGCGACATCATATGATGTGAGTTAGAAAACGAAGGAGTTTTACTAGAACTTGATCGCAGGGTGACATCAACTTCTTTGCGCCGTGCGAGTGCCGTTTTGTTATCGTTAACACGACGAAGAAAGGGGTCGATCCGGTGCAAGTCGAAGAGTTGGAGGAGATCTCGGCCGAAAGTTGTGGCTATGAGGTGAGTTAAATTCATTTGAGCTTAATGGGAGAGTTCCTGGATTCCTGGATTCCTGAATTCCTGGAGAGAGCCATTTCCTCAGCCAACTTTCAACTTTCCAGGTCAGTGAAGACTACGAAGACTACTATCACCTCTTCTATATGACCAACGATACAACAGAAGAGTCAATCGTTGATGCAGTGGCCGAGGAAATGTTTGTGGTGCCCGTGTACCAGCTGAGAATCGGATACTTGAACACGACGATCACAGTGGGTAGAAAGACAAGGCTTAAAAGGCTTCTTTCGCGCGGCGCCAATATGGGCTTGTGGCGCAGTGGATTAGAGGCTGGCTACAAGGAAAGCTCAGGCTTAGGCTTAGGCTTAGGCTCAGGCTAGGTTTAGGGTTAGGCTTAGGTTCAGGCTTAGGCTAAGGCTTAGGCTTAGGTTCAGGCTTAGGCTTAGGCTTAGGCTTAGGTTCAGGCTTAGGCTAAGGCTTAGGCCTAGGCCAATGAGCCATTAGGCTCATTAGGCTCATTGGCCCAATGGATCATTGGCCGTGGCTCGTTGGCCCAATGGCTCAGGCTTAGGCTTAGGCTCATTGGCTCCATGGCTCATTGACCCTGGCTCATTGGCCCTGGCTCATTGGCCTCCGGGTTAGGCTCAAGCTTAGGCTCAAGCTTAGGCTTAGGCTCATTGGCCCAATGGTTCAGGCTTAGGCTTGGGCTTAGGCTTGGGCTTAGGCGTAGGCTCAGGCTTAGGCTTAGGCTTAGGCTTAGGCCAATGAGCCTAAGCCTAAGCCTAAGCCTTCCTGAGCCTGAGCCAAATAGAGTTTTCCGAGACAAGCCAGAACTCGCTGTATTGTTCTAATTTCATTTCTGATTTCAAGATCATTTATCATTTCAAACGAATTAGTTCTCCTAGTTGAACCCTTTGTGAAAAGTTAACTAGTTTCGCTAAAAGTAAAAAAGCAAAAGTGAATTGCTAGATAAAGCTTGAAAGCTTGTACTTCTTGCTCGGACTCGCCTAAGCAAGCCTAAGCAAGAAGTACAAGCTTTCCTTGTAGCCAGCCTTTAATTCACTGCGCCATCAGCCCATATCGGCACCACGCGAAAGAGCGTGCTGGGGTACTTCCCTTAAGCTTGTTCTGTGGTCTATTTATCAGACCAGGACTGATTTGAATCTGCGCAAGACCAGGACTGATCTGGGCAAGACTTTTCGTCTGAGTTGACAATTCTTTTTTGACGCCAGCTCAAAAAAAGATTAAAAAATGCTTTTAGACTTCTCCACCGATTTGGGAAGATCGTCCATTCGAGATTGAAACGATCGGCTTCTGCAAGCACACGAGTCTTCTCAACATGCCTGTGGATTCGAATCATTATGTTATGCTGGATAATGGTGAGTGTTAAGGTTAAAGGATCATCTTCTCAATATAGCAACTTGGTCAGTTTTTCGTAAATTGATCTAAAACCTGTTAGTCTTTGCCCAATCAACTTTGTGACTTCCAGATTGGCTTTTCTGACGTTTCTAGACTGAAAAATTGCATTTAATTCAATTTTGGCCATCCTTGAAACAGAACAACTTGGTCAGCTTTTCTCAAATTCATCTAAAACCTGTTTTTCTTTGCTCAATTGCTATTGTGACTTCCAGATTGGCTTTTCTGACGTTCTTAGAAGGAAAAGTTTGCATTTAACTTGATTTTGGCCATCCCTGAAACAGAACAACTTAGTCAGCTTTTCTCAAATCATCTAAAACCTATTTTACTTTTCCCAATCAACCTTGTGATTTCCAGATTGCCTTTTCTGACGTTTCTAGACTCAAAAATTTCCATTTAAGTCCATTTTTGCCATCCCTGAAACAGAACAACTTGGTCAGCTTTTCTCAAATTCATCTCAAACCTGTTTTTCTTCGCTTAATCAACCTTGTGCGTTCCAGCTTTCGATTTCCCATAATTTCTGGCCCTTAACCATTCACCATTTCCCCCAAACCCTCACAGAACAAAACCGCGAAAAAACGAAACGATCAAAAGAACAAAAAAATCACTTTTTCGGCTATTCAAATTCTCTATTGATCTCCATATTTCAGGAAAAGGCGAAGATGTGGAAATGGAAGATGAGGAGAGCTCACAATCCGGCGACTTCCCACCTCAAAAACTCGCCATTCTGTGGATGATGGCCGAGGCTATGAAGCAAGAGGTGCTAAGAACTAGGAAATTAGAATTTTGGAGACAAAATTTCAAAACACTGACCTCCAGAATGAAGAAAACAAATTAGACTTTTACAAAAAAAAGCTGTAGTTTCCAAAAATTTGATCAGAACTCAAAATTGTCAAAATTCGAAATTCTCAAAATTCTTTAATTTCCGCGGGAAAGTTAAATTTCAAAAGAATGACATCCAGCTTGAATGTAGAATATTTTCATTTTCAATAGAAAGCCATAGTTTCCAAAAAACTCCCCAGAACTCAAAATTCTAGCTAAATAGCTACCAAAACGGGTTTTCTTTAGTTAAATGGATTGAAATTTTATCAATTTCTCTAATAACTATTTAGTTCAGGGCTTTTACAGTGATATTCTATGAGTTTCTATGAGTTTCTACGAGTTTTTTGTTATTTTCTTGGGGGTGGGACAAATGCGAACTTTTTTTTTGCGCACCTGGACATTTGCGCACCTTTCCAGGGCCTTAAGCTGGAAAAGGCCTTAGGCAAAGGCCGTAGAGCTTCAAAAATGTTTTCCAAGAAGGGAATCGTATGCGTAGATTGCGAATTCCAACAAATCAGACCTCGCTAACACGTCAAATTTGAGCTAAAAGACAAAAACTGCGAAAAAAGCGTTAAGTTGCGTAGTTTTTGCCTTTTAGCTCAAATTTGACGTGTTAGCGAGGTCTGATTTGTCGAAATTCGGAATCTACGCATACGATTCCCTTACATGGAAATGATTTCGAAGCTCTACGACCTTTCCTAAGGCCTTTTCCAGCAAAAAAAAGGTGCGCCAATGTCCAGGTGCGCCAATGTCCAGGTGCGCAAATGTCCAAGTGCGCCAATGTCCAGGTGCGCAAATGTCCAGGTGCGCAAAAGTCCAGGTGCGCCAATCTCCAGGTGCGCAAATGTCCAGGTGCGCCAATCTCCAGGTGCGCCAATCTCCAGGTGCGCAAATGTCCAGGTGCGCAAATGTCCAGGTGCGCCAACGTCCAGGTGCGCAAATGTCCAGGTGCGCAAATGTCCAGGTGCGCCAATGTCCAGGTGCGCAAATGTCCAGGTGCGCCAATGTCCAGGTGCGCAAATGTCCAGGTGCGCAAATGTCCAGGTGCGCAAATGTCCAGGTGCGCCAATGTCCAGGTGCGCAAATGTCCAGGTGCGCCAATGTCCAGGTGCGCCAATGTCCAGGTGCGCAAATGTCCAGGTGCGCCAATGTGCAGGTGCCCCAATGTCCAGGTGCGCAAATGTCCAGGTGCGCCAATGTCCAGGTGCGCCAATGTCCAGGTGCGCAAATGTCCAGGTGCGCCAATGTCCAGGTGCGCCAATGTCCAGGTGCGCAAATGTCCAGGTGCGCAAATGTCCAGGTGCGCAAATGTCCAGGTGCGCCAATGTGCAGGTGCCCCAATGTCCAGGTGCGCCAATGTCCAGGTGCGCCAATGTCCAGGTGCGCAAATGTCCAGGTGCGCCAATGTCCAGGTGCGCCAATGTCCAGGTGCGCAAATGTCCAGGTGCGCCAATGTCCAGGTGCGCAAATGTCCAGGTGCGCCAATGTCCAGGTGCGCAAATGTCCAGGTGCAAAAAGTCGCATTTGTCCCACCCCCATTTTCTTGAACTTTTTTCCAATCTTTGGCTGAATTTGGGAGATTTTGGGAGATTTGTTTTAAAAAAAGAGAAAAATTGTTTAATTACGTGCAAATTTTCGTTACGTTTTCTCATTTTTTTTCCAATTCTCCTTCTTTTTTCAATTTTTGATCATTTTAAAAAAAAAATACCGACTGGGGCTACCAGTGGTGAATTTATCGCATACACGAAATATATCAATCACAATACAACGACACACACAATACTAGGCTAGATCTTAACTTAACCCACGTCATGACAGACGGCTCCCGAACCCTAAGCTCAATGGGGAACTAGATAGCTTTTTTGGTGGTGAAGGGAAGATGACGATGAAGGAGTGGCTTGTCACTTTAAAGAACTGGGGCCACAACCACCAGACTGCCCTCCAGAAAACCTCTCAACCCGAAGGGAAAGGAAATCCGAAGGGGGTGACCATGTCGCATGTGGGGTTCGAACCCTCGACCTTCCGATTAAGATAAGAGACACTTAACCTTAAAAGGAAAAGATTCTAAATAAGACTTTCCTTTTTCAATTTTTTTTTTTGTTTAAATGTTTATGCCAGATATTTTTTGCGATATTTTCGAGGAAAAGTTCGCGAAAACATCGAAAAAGTGTTTTCGAGAACGGGAAAAAGGGGAATCTTTTTGCAAAATTGCACGTAGGTCCTCAGTTCTCGACTAGAAATTTGTTTTGCTTTTGGGAAATGGGGAAATCCATCGAATTGTGCACTTTCTTTTAACAATAAAGGTTTAGAAAAGTTGAGAAATGAGAAAAGATTCAGTTGGTGTTTAGTTGGTGCTCAGTTTCTCAGAACTAAGAAAAGATGGTGTTTTTGAGAGCATTTAGAAGCATTTAAAAGCACTTAAAAGCATTTAAAACCATTTAAAAACATTTAAAAGCACCTAAAAGCATTTGAAAGCATTTAAAAGCACATTAAAAGCACAAAGCACCTTTCTAAAGCACTTAGAAGGAATTCAGCTTCAGAGTAAGTCTTGGGTAACTGAAATGAGCCTTTGCTTGACAATCAGCACCGCAAAAAGGGTTTCTTTGCCCATTTTTGAGCATAAAAACCTAGACCTTTCACTAGAAACCCTTTAGCCAAAGCCTCTAGCCAAAGCCTCTATCCAAAGCCTCTAGCCAAAGTCTCTAGCCAAACACCTCTAGCCAAAGTCTCTAGCCAAAGTCTCTAGCCAAATCCTCTAGCCAAATCCTCTAGCCAAAGCCTCTATCCCAAGCTCTAGCCAAGCCTCTAGCCAAAGTCTCTAGCCAAGCCTCTAGCCAAAGTCTCTAGCCAAAGTCTCTAGCCAAAGTCTCTAGCCAAATCCCCTAGCCAAAGTCTCTAGCCAAGCCTCTAGCCAAAGTCTCTAGCCAAAGTCTCTAGCCAAAGCCTCTAGCCAAAGCCTCTAGCCAAAGTCTCTAGCCAAAGTCTCTAGCCAAAGCCTCTATCCCAAGCTCTAGCCAAAGCATCTAGCCAAAGTCTCTAGCCAAATCCCCTAGCCAAAGTCTCTAGCCAAAGTCTCTAGCCAAATCCTCTATCCCAAGCTCTAGCCAAAGCCTCTAGCCAAACGATAACAGCCATTTTATTGCCAAAAAGCTTTCTGAATTCGAAAAAGTTGGTATTAGATGTACAAAGTAGTTAAAATCTATATAAAAATAGCCTTAAAGTTTATGATTTTTGAAAGATTTTTTTGAATTTCTTGAATTGACCATTTCATCCAGGTTATAATGCCCAGTTACGCTGCGAACAATGTGCCTGGTGGCCTAGTGGTTAATGTGGGTTTCTCCCACCCTCTGCTCCCTGGTTCGATCCCGGAGACTACCAATTTTCTTTTTCTTTTGCGAAATGAATAAATGGCAAACTCTAGCTTATAAGGTCCAGTTACGCCTTTCCAGAAAAGTCCGCCGTAGCCTAATGGTTAGTGTGGGTCTCTGGCCCTCTGCTCCCTGGTTCGATCCCGGTCACGTAGAAATTTTTTTTCTGATTGAAGAAAATGATTGAAGAACTCAGCTTATATGGCCCAGTTAGAGTCCCTCGTGGCCTTGGAAGAGTCCCTCGTGGCCTTAGAAGAGTCCCTTCGGCCTTGGAAGAGTCCCTCGTGGCCTTGGAAGAGTCCCTCGTGGCCTTGGAAGAGTCCCTCGTGGCCTTGGAAGAGTCCCTCGTGGCCTTGGAAGAGTCCCTCGTGGCCTAGTGGCTAGCCTGCATTTTTCTCGTTCTCTCCCCCCTGGTTACACCAAGAAAAAGAACTACAAAGTACCCCAAGAATTTTCTGAAATCTGCCCTAAACCGGTGAGAAATCGGCGCAAAAAGTGCTCGATGTTCGGCTCTACGAGTGTGCCAAATCCACCAAAAAAAGCGGAAAGACCAAAAAAAACATCGCCCGTGTGACTACGTGACTCACAAAAGGCAAAAAAAGGCAAAAACGCTGAACAAACATTGAAGAAAAAGGGGCAGATGAGCTGTTTTTCCGAGAACTTGGAAAATTCTCAAAGCCTGAAGTCTAAAAACAAGCGGAATTTTTGAAATTTTGTGATCAATCGGCGGTGTGAGCTCCAGGATTGAGCTCAAAATTTTCAGAAATGCACATTTCCCACAAAATTTCCCCTCAAAGTCTGTGGTGAGCTCCAGGATGGCCAAAACTTTTGAAATTAGTGTAATCTTTGAGATTTTGCGCTCAAACGACGCTGTGAGCTCCAGAATTAAGACCAAAATTTTCAGAAATGCACATTTCCCACAAAATTTCCCCTCAAAGGCTGTGGTGAGCTCCAGAATGGTCAAAACTTTTGAAATTAGTGTAATCTTTGAGATTTTGCGCTCTATCGCTAGTGTGACCGCCAAATTGGCTCAAAACCTTGAAACATTCTCAATTTTCAGTCAAAAGTCGCGCTGATTCGCTTCGGATCGGGTCGTTTCGGTGTGCTTTCACCGTTCAACGAGTCACATTCGGGTCTCCTCCTTTCCCTACTCCCACCACAGCACCTCCTGCCGCCATATGTGCCCGATTTGGAAAGTGAGAGCTGTTCAACGATTTAACTTGTTCATAAGCTTTGTTGAGCTCCAGAATGGCTAAAAGACGTCTTCTTGTTTCGGATTTTATTTTAAAAATTTCAGAACTGACAACCGTCCCGTGTTTCAACGATCAATGCGACGATTTGGTGATCAAAGAGGAGGCTGGAGAGCCGGCAAGCTATGCGGCGAATTGTGAGTGTTAGAGATGGCTTTTCTAGGATCAGGTACCGTAACCCCCACCCTCACCAAGCTCTATTTAACGACCACGATACAGTAATCCTTGCACAAAACTGTCTGATTGCAAAAATACAGAATGTCGTCTACTAAACTCGGCAAATTATCTTGTGACATCCAGGATACAGTAATCTTTGCCAAAAACTGTCTAAAGTCAAAGACTACGGTAGCCTATCCACCCAATAAAGACCTGGCTTCGGCCACCTGGTTTTAAAATACGTTAGCTCGTCAATTAAACTTAGTAATTTAACGTGTGACATCCAGGATACAGTAATCTTTGCACAAAACTGTCTAATATCGGAAAGACTACGGTAATTATCCATTAAACTCAATCTGGATACAGTAACCTTTGAAGAAATGTTTGTAGATTTTGAGTTTACAGTAGTCTAACTTATCTTGTGAACCCCAGGATACAGTAATCTTTTCACAAAACTGTTTAATATCTGAAAGGCTACGATAATTATCCATCAAACTCAATCTGGATACAGTGACCTTCCTTGCACAAAACTGTCTGGTTTCAAAAATACGGTAACTCGTTCACTAAACTCGGCAAATTATCCAGTGACATCCAGGATACAGTAATCTTTGCACAAAACGATTTAATTCTCAAGTCTCACCGCAGCTACCATAGCCGTCCAATAGTATGACTTATTAGAATGAATTTGTTGCCGCCGCTTCCCGAAAAGCTACCGTTTTCTCTCCCTAGTACAGTGCTTGATCGTAGAATATTTTACGAACCAATTACCGTAACCCTGGTACCATAAGCATTCGGTCGTTTGTGCAAAGATCTCTTCAAGAATTATCGATCTGAAATCGAATTCTGTGGCCCAACTACCGTAATCCAGTTGTCAAATCATAAAGCCTTTTCCAAAGACTACATAATGCATCCAAATTACAGTACACTCGTGGATCGGCTCGAACGGGATTCAAAACGATTTGAACAAAATTCTGCGCTATTTCCGCAAATTGCCCGACAAGAGCGAGAACTTTTATATGGTAAGGGAAAGTTTTACTGTAGTGCGGAGCCTGTAGTGTGGAGACTGTAGTGCGGAGACTGTAGTGCGTGGTTTAGCACTGTTTTTAAAATATTACGCAGCAAAATATTACGAGCGTTTTCATCAACTTTAAAACAAAATTCGACGGGTGTTTGAAAACGCAAAAAAATGGGCATTGACGTTTCCGTATTTGATCCACGTGGAAGCAGCGAAACTGGAGTGGAAGCTGGAGGTACTGGAGTGGAAGCTGGAGGTACTGGAGTGGAAGCTGGAGGTACTGGAGTGGAAGCTGGAGGTACTGGAGTGGAAGCTGGAGGTACTGGAGTGGAAGCTGGAGGTACTGGAGTGGAAGCTCCAGGTATGGAGTGGAAGCAGCGAAAACAAGAAGCATCCATTTGGGAATTGACCTCAAATTTGTTTGCAAGATTCCCTCTCCGCCTTTCCGAATGATCCGAATCGAATCAAGAACGGATAACAACATCGGAATCAGCTTAAAACTCTGCCTCGTACAATCTATGGCTCATTTGGCCACCTCACCCTTCTGTGGGTAGCGCTTTAACAGCTACCTGTAAGGCATACGGTAGACATGGTTTTTTGGATTTTGGATCTGGATTTTTTGGAAGAAATCAGATCGGATAGCCCAGTCGGGCAGACCTATTGGATCGGATCGGGCTAGGTCGACCAGTCGAACGGATCTAATCGAGTTGGATTGAACTAGCCCAATCGGTTGGATGGATAGGATCGGATCGGGCTAGCTCGATCGATCGGACCTATTGAATTGGATCGGGCTAGGCCGATCGGTTGGATGGATCGGATCGGGCTAGGTTGACCAGTCGAACGGATCGGATTGGGCTAGCCCGATCGGGTAGACCTATTGGATCGAGTCGGGTTAGCGCGACCAGTCGAACGAACCTAATCGAATTGGATTGGGGTAGCTCGATCGGTCGGAGGGATAGGATCGGGCTAGCCCAATCGGTTGAATGGATCGGATGGGGCTAGGTCGACCAGTCGAACGGATCTAATCGAATTGGATTGGGCTAGCACAAACGGGCGGACGGATCGGATCGTGCTAGATCGGTTGGATGGATCGGATCGGGCTAGCTCGACCGTCGAACGGATCGGATCGGATTGGGCTAGCCCGATCGGTTGGACGGATCGGATCAGTCCTAATCCGATAAAGATCAGTCCTAGTCCGATCCGATAAAGCCAAATCCAATCCGATTCGATAACCATGTCTAGCAACGTTAGTCATACTGTAATAATCTAAATAAAAATTCAGGAGCTGAACAAAGTACGGCAATACGCGGCGGTGATCGGATGCCAGCAAATTCTGTCGGAAATCGCTCGTATCTTGAAAGAGGAGTCGATTCAATTGAATGAACACGTACGCAAACACGCGAATCATGTGGCCCCGTTTTTGGAGATGTAAGTTGGATGGGAGGATTGCTAGAAATCGCGTACATTTACATAGCCAGCCATAGTTACAGTAATCCTGGCCTAGCTCTCGTAATCGACTTAGACATTGGCTAGAATATCCTCCAGGTGACTGTCCAGTAATCTCGCGGAATCCCGGCTTGCTTTGCGAGCCAGCTACGGTGCTCTGAGAGGCTCTGAGGGCAGTCCGAGAGTCTCTGAGCGCACTTCGAGAGTTACTCCGAGAGTCGCAGTACCGGCTTTCAACATAAAACATCGTAAAAGTGTAGGGAACAAAACTAGTTAAATTTTAATTAAACTACTTCTTTCTCCAGTAAAAAGCCAAGCTAAAAAGCTTATTTTATGAGCCAGCTAGCGAAAAGAAATCTTTTAAAGATCAAGCCAAGCTACAGGAATCCCAGAGTAGCCTACAGTAATCCAAGAGTAGCCTACAGTAATCCAAGAGTAGCCTACAGTAATCCCAGAGTAGTAATCCAAGAGTAGTCTACAGGAATCCCAGAGTAGTAATCCTAGAGTAGCCTACAGGAATCCCAGAGTAGTAATCCTAGAGTAGTCTACAGGAATCCAAGAGTAGCCTACAGTAATCCAAGAGTAGTCTACAGGAATCCCAGAGTAGCCTACAGTAATCCCAGAGTAGCCTACAGTAATCCCAGAGTATCCAATATCGAAATTTCAGGGAGATCACCGAATTCGGCGTCCACGTGCCGGATATCCCAGCTCTTCAGTGATTTCTCGAGTTTGCCTCGAGCGCTGGCCACAAATCTCCTCGAAAACTTGATCTCAAATTGTCAATTTCAATCAATTTCAAATTCTTTTCCAAATCTATGAAACAATTCCCATTTTTCGTCGATTTTTTTGCAATTCCAGCACTGTCTTTTGTGAAAAAACTGTCTTTTAAAACCTTTTAAAATAAAAAATTTATGAAAATCAATCAATTGAACAAGTTTATTTACTGTTTACCGCATTAAAATTTTAAAATTCGTTTAAATGAGCCAAGAAATTGAACGGATTACAGCAAATTACTACACAATTTTGGTTGTAGCAAAATTCCGTTCGCAGGATTAAGCCGCTTGACGAATTCTCAACTTTTCATCGATTCTGGATGCTATAAAAGCGTAAAATCCAAAAAAAAAACCGAAACTGATGCTTTTCGAAGATGTCGATCATCAGGGCACGCTTTAGAAAACATACGACAAGCTTGCTGATTCAAAAAGGACTCGTTGAACGCTTTTGGCTCCACTATTTGAAGCCATTTCACTCATTGAGCTCCAGAATGGCAAAAACTTTTGAAATTGGCCTAATCTCTGAAATTTTGTGTTCAATCGATGCTGTGAGCTCCAGGAGTGCGGCCAAAATTTTCAGAAATGCAAATTTCCCACAAAATTTCTCTCCAAAGTCTTTGGTGAGCTCCAGAATGATCAAAACTTTTGAAATTGGCCTAATCTCTGAAATTTTGTGTTCAATCGACGCTGTGAGCTCCAGGAGTGCGGCCAAAATTTTCAGAAATGCAAATTTCCCACAAGATTTCTCTCCAAAGTCTTTGGCGAGCTCCAGAATGGCAAAAACTTTTGAAATTAGTCTAATCTTTGAAATTTTGTGTTCAATCGACGCTGTGAGCTCCAGGATTGAGACCAAAATTTTCAGAATGCACATTCCACGCAAAATTTCCCTCCAAAGTCTGTGGTGAGCTCCAGAATGGCGAAAACTTTTGAAATTGGCGTAATCTCTGAGATTTTGCGCTCTATGACTAGTGTGACGGCCAAAATGGCTTCAAACCTTGAAGTTCCTTTAGAAAATGAGCCAGGGCACGCCTTAGAAAACATACGACAAGAATTTCGTGCTTAAATTTCAACAAACTCGAATTTTCTAGGCAAAACAGGAGTGAATAATAATTCTAAATGCTCGCAAAAAGCCAAAAATTAATTAAAAACCCCGAGTTTTTGTTTAAAGATTGTTTTTTTGCCTGTAAAAGCAAAAAAAACAAAAAAAATTTGGTTTTAAAGAGTTCGTATATTGGATTTGAGAAGGCAAAAAGATCGGCTGACTTTCAGATTGAGAGAATCACTTCCAGAATAGACTCTAGCACAGCCAGATAGCAAGAAAGCGAGCAATTAACAGCGGAAAAGCTTGCTGCTTAAAAAAAAGAACTCGTTGAACGCTTTTGGCTCCAGCCATTTCACTCACTGAGCTCCAGGATGGCCAAAACTTTTGAAATTAGTGTAATCTTTGAGATTTTGCGCTCAAACGACGCTGTGAGCTCCAGAATTAAGACCAAAATTTTCAGAAATGCACATTTCCCACAAAATTTCCCTCCAAAGTCTGTGGTGAGCTCCAGAATGGTCAAAACTTTTGAAATTAGTGTAATCTTTGAGATTTTGAGCTCTATCGCTAGTGTGACCGCCAAATTGGCTCAAAACCTTGAAACATTCTCAATTTTCAGTCAAAAGTCGCGCTGATTCGCTTCGGATCGGGTCGTTTCGGTGTGCTTTCACCGTTCAACGAGTCACATTCGGGTCTCCTCCTTTCCCTACTCCCACCACAGCACCTCCTGCCGCCATATGTGCCCGATTTGGAAAGTGAGAGCTGTTCAACGATTTAACTTGTTCATAAGCTTTGTTGAGCTCCAGAATGGCTAAAAGACGTCTTCTTGTTTCGGATTTTATTTAAAAAATTCCAGAACTGACAACCGTCCCGTGTTTCAACGATCAATGCGACGATTTGGTGATCAAAGAGGAGGCTGGAGAGCCGGCAAGCTATGCGGCGAATTGTGAGTGTTAGAGATGGCTTTTCTAGGATCAGGTACCGTAACCCCACCCTCACCAAGCTCTATTTAACGACCACGATACAGTAATCCTTGCACAAAAACGTCTGAAAAGAATTTTCTTTTAAAATCAGCATAAATCTTTATCATTCTCTGCATCAAAAAAACGGATTGAATAAAATTTAGAAAAGAAAAATTCGGAAAAAAGAAATCGCTTCTTTTTTGACCACAAAATTGATGAAAATTGACGAAAAATTTGAAGAAAGCTGTGAAATTCGGGAAATTTTTCAGAAAAAAGTGAATTTTCGAGCAAAAAAATGGAAAAAATTTGAAGAAAAAGCAAGTGAAAATGCGGGAAAAATGGAAAAATGGAAAAAATTGGGAGAATTTGATAAATTTTTGAGTGTTTTTGAGCTGTAGTATTCGGTTATAAAAAAAATTTTACCAAAAAAAAAGTGGAAAAAGTTTGAAAAATGGAAAAATTCCCGTATTGAAAACAGCCCGCTCAAGTGTCGGATCGGTGAAAAACAAAAAAAATAAAAGAGATTCGAAATTTGCAAAAAAAGTCGAAATTTGCATAAATTCCCGAATTTGCATAAAATCCGAAATTTGAATAAAATCCGAAATTTGAACAAAATCCAGAATTTGCATAAATTTGGAAATTTGCATAAAACTCAAGATTTACATAAAATCCGAAATTTGCACAAAATCCGAAATTTGCATAAATCCGAAATTTACATAAAATCCGAAATTTACATAAAATCCGAAATTTGCATAAATTCCGAAATTTGAATAAAACTCGAAATTTGCAGAAATTCCGAAATTTGAATAAAATCCGAAATTTACATAAAATTCGAAATTTGCACAAAATCCGAAATTTACATAAATTCCCAAATTTACGTAAAATCCGAAATTTGCATAAAACTCGAAATTTGAATAAAACTCGAAATTTGCACAAAATCCGAAATTTACATAAAATCCGAAATTTGCACAAAATCCGAAATTTACATAAAATCCGAAATTTACATAAAATCCGAAATTTTCAAAAAAAGTCGAAATTTGCATATAATCCGAAATTTGCATAAAACTCGAAATTTGCATAAATTCCGAAATTTGCATAAAATTCGAAATTTACCTAAAATTCCAAATTTGAATAAGATCGGAAATTTGAATAAGAGTCGAAATTTCCATAAGAGTCGAAATTTGCATAAAATCCGAAATTTACATAAAATCCGAAATTTGCATTAAATCCGAAATTTGCATAAAACTCGAAATTTGAATAAAATCCGAAATTTGCATATGTTTTCCGATAAAAAACGGCGAAAAATTGAAGACTTTTCGAGAATATATGCAAATTTTGAAGAAATGTCGAAAAACGAAATTATTCGCCATTTTTGCCCCCTCAAAAAGCGTTCAAATGCTCGGTTTCGAGGAATTCGGTGGAACGCCTGCAAATTTTTGAAATATTTCCTTGAAATGCTTGCACTTACATTGCTTTCTTCTGGCTGAGCTGACGTTTGGGCTTCCTGAAATTTGGAGATCTTTGAGCCTTTTGAGATCAAACAAATTTTGAAAAACGCGACCAACTTGGCGCACTGGACTCTTTGATTTTTAAGCGTTCTGGAGGTCATTTGACAACTAGAGATGAAAAAATGGAAGTTTTCGACGATTTTAGAAATCAAGCTAATTCCTCCAAACCCAAGCCACCTAGCGCACTCAATTCTTTGATTTTTAAGCGTTCTGGAAGTCATTTGACAACTAGACTTCAAAAAATATGAAAATTTCAGGGATTTGAGAAAATTTTGCAAACGTGCGCCACATGGTACACTGAAATTTTGCATAAAAGTGAGAATTTGTGTTTTCAACTAAAGATTTAGCCCCAGTGATTTTCAGAACTCACTTCGGTGCTTGATGCAACAAAATCTGTTTCGAGGAGTCGCTGTTCTCTTCGGCGTTCCCCGTTTCTCCATCATCGGCCGTTTCGGGGAAATTCTCCGGATCGATGAACACTGGACCGTCGGGAATCGGGATCGATTCTGGAAATTCGGGTCGAAATTATAAATTCTAAAAGGTTCCCTATCTAAAGTGACCCTACGGTAGGGTTACGGTATTCTCTGTTTCCGAAACCGTCCCCTTTTCTCTTTCTACCGTAATCCAAATTAGTCAGTAAATGGTTTTTTTGGCTATTCTGGAAGTCACTAGGGCTTTTCCAAAGCTTGAAACATTAAAATTAGCAGTTTCAGACAGCACCGTACCCGTTTTCTAAACCATGCCCCTTCCCCTCTCTACCGTAATCCAAATTAGTCAATAAACGGTTTTTTGGCTAATCTGGAAGTCACTAGGATTGTTCTGAAGTTTAGAAATGCAAAATTTCCCATTTCATCCAGCAGCACCGTACCCGTTTTCTAAACCATGCCCTTTTCTCTTTCTACCGTAATCCAAATAAGACAGTAAACGGTTTTTTGGCTAATCTGGAAGTCACTAGGATTGTTCTCAAGTTCAGAAATTCAAAATTAAGAAATTTTGAATTTTTGAGCCTGAGCCTGATCCTGAGCCTGACCCTAAGCCGTTTCATCCAACAGCACTGTACCCGTTTCCCTAAACCGTGCCCCTTTTCTCTTTCTACCGTAATCTTGTCTCTATTTTTATCAGAATTAGGCTAAAAAAGTGGATAGATTGGATAAAAATGGAGACAAGATTACGGTAGATAGAGAAAAAGGGAAAAATTAAAAACGACTTAGAAAAATCGATTTTTAGTAAAAAGTTAAGTGCTATAGGTTAGGTAAATCCAGTTTTTTGTGTCTTTCAAATCAAAATTAGTACCAATTTTCGCGACTTTGGCCAAATCGTGTTTCCCGCATTGGATCAAGCGCTTCTCGGCCTCGATCAGCTGTCGCTCTAAACGCTTCAATGAGGCCAATCGTTGCGCCTCGGGGCTCTTCGATTCATCCAAGGTCGCAACCGGGATCGCATTCGGATTTTCCTTTATCTCATCTTCTCGATCGGTGTCCGTCTGGTGGCCATCGGGGTCGGCGGCTAAAGAGTGGACGGGTTACCGTAGTTTTAGACTTTTAGACTTGCGAATTAGACAGTTTTTGGCAAAGATTACTGTATCCTGGATGTCACTGGATAATTTGCTGAGTTTAGTAGACGAGTTATCGTATTTTTTGGAATCAGACAGTTTTGTGCAAGGAAGGTTACTGTATCCAGATTGAGTTTGATGGATAATTACCGTAGTCTTTCAGATATTAGACAGTTTTGTGCAAAGATTACTGTATCCTGGATGTCACACGTTAAGTTAGACTACTGTAAACTTAAAACCTACATACTTTTGTTCAAGGGTTACTGTACCCGAATTGAGTTTGATGGATAATTACCGTAGGCTTTCAGTTATGAGACCGTTTTGGACAAAGATTACTGTATCCTGGATGTCACATGTTAATTTACTAAGTTTAGTTGCCGAGCTAACGTACTTTAAAATCAGGTCCAAAGCCAAATCCTTATTGCGTGGATAGGCTACCGTAGTCTTTCATATTAGACAATTTTGTTAATGGATTACTATATCCTGGATGTCACAGGATAATTTGCCAAATTTAATTGACAGTTATTGCATGTATTATAAACCAGGTCTGAAGTCGGGTTCTTATTTAGTGGATAGGCTACCGTAGTCTTTGACTTTAGACAGTTTTGGGCAAAGATTACTGTATCCTGGATGTCACAAGATAATTTGCCGAGTCTAGTAGACGAGCTTCCGTATTTTTTGCAATCAGACAGTTTTGTGCAAGGATTACTGTATCGTGGTCGTTAAATAGAACTTGATATGAATGAGTTACCGTAATTTTTAATAGCTAGAGGTGAAATTTTGAGCTTAGCAGTGCTGAGACTCGTTCTAGAACACATTTCACTCGTTTTAAGTGTTAAATGTAGTTTTTGAGCGTTTTCAAGTGCTAAAGTCAGTCCAGAATCTTTGCTAAGAACATTTCTTATATTAGAGTTCATATTTCGAGCTATTATCAGCATCAAGGGCTATCCTGGAAGTCATTCCATCAATTCTTCAGCTTTGGCTTCAGCTTCACCTTCATCCGGCACGTCCGGTGCCGCGTCCCTCTTGTTGCTCTCCTCGAGATGCTTCATCAACACCGCCACTACGACGTTCACCAAAACGAACTTAAATGGGAATCGATATGGTAATCCTAAAGCTTTTAGGAATACCTGTGAGATGAGGACAAAGATCACGAAATAGCAGGGAGCTAGAATTGGATCAACGCAGCAATTCACCTCGCAGCGCTCCGAGATGTCGCAGTCGTCGCTAGAAAATTTGAAAATGGAGAATTTCTGGGTTTAACGAAAGAAACTTCTGTAGTGAGCTCCAGATTGCCCCAAATTAATCAAATTTTGCAATCTTATATGTAAAAGTTTGGAGATATTCAGTCAAAATCGTACCAAGGAAAATCTGAAGATTTCAAAAATTGAAATTTCTGGTTTTTAACATGAAAAACATCTGAACTGAGACCCAGAATGATTAAATTTTTCAATTTTTAGAATCCAGCTTTGTCGAATTTAAAGATATTCAGTCAAAGTCGTATCAAGGAGAATCTCAAGAATTTAAAAGTTGAAATTTCTGGTTTTTAACGAAAGAATCTTTTGTAGTGAGCTCCAGATTGGTTAAATTTTTAAATTTTTAAAATTCTAGTCTTATAGAATTTAAAGATATTCAGTCAAAATCGTACTAATGAAAATCTCAAGATTTAAAAAATTGAAATTTCTGGTTTTTAACATGAAAACCATCTGAACTGAGTTCCAGATTGATTCAATTTTTCAATTTTTAAAAGTCTAGTCCTATAGAATTTAAAGATATTCAGTCAAAGTCGAACCAGGTGAAACCTCAAGTATCCAAAAATTGAAATTTCTGGTCTTTAACATGAAAAACAACTGAACTGAGTTCCAGAATGATTAAATTTTTCAATTTTTAGAATCCAGCTTTGTCGAATTTAAAGATATTCAGTCAAAGTCG